CGAAAAGCACGCCCGGTGCCCGGTGGCCTCCGCCCCTCCCCGCCGAGCACGTGCTGCCCTCGCGGGGCTCCTGGAGGCAGGGCAAGCTCCCCGCTGGCAGCAGTGCCGGACCCTTGGAGACCGCGGGGCGTCCACAGGCCTCGTCCTGAGCCCCTGCTGTTTGGGGAGTCCTGGGTCTGGGGCTGATCAGCTTTCCTCTCTGCACCTCAGGCTTCCCTGGAGACTCAGTCACCGGGCTGGTGGAGGCTGAGCCGAGGCCTCAGCGGGTGCCTCTGCACCCCAGCCCCTGGCGCCGAGTTAGGCCACAGCAGCAGCTCAGAAGAGCCTCGAGGTGGCCAGGAGCACGGGAGGAGAGCACGGCTGTGGGCGGCTGAGGGTCGTGCTGGAGTCAGCCCACCTGCCCGTAGCCAGCCGTGCACAGAGAGCTGGGCGTGGGGGGAGCAGGAGCCCCCAGCCGTGCTCTCCTCCTTGTTGGGGGTCAGCGCGGTCAGCGCTTTCCCTAGACTCCGCTCGAGGCACCAACCCTGCAGCCAGCAGTAGGGTGGGAGCCATGTGCCCGGCAGCAGTGGGCCCGGGCGCAGGAGCCCAGGCCTCCCGGCTCCCGAGAGGGCCGCCCTGGACGCCGTCCCTCTGCGCGGGCGCTGGTGTCCACGCTGCAGAGCCTGCCCCGGGTCGCGGTGAGGGCCGTGCGGCCCGCATCCTGGAGGCGGTCGGGGCAGTGTGGTCCGGCAGGCTCCGAGGGCGCTCCCGTGCCTCCCCAGGGGAGAGCCAGGTGGAAGCCACACTCTGGGCAGCGGGCAGCGTCCCGGGCTGAGGGAGCAGCGAAGGGCAGAGCAGGGCAGTGACGGCCACTCAGCTGCAGGCCTCTCTGGACCGAGGTGGCAGCTGCTGGCTGGCTTGAGGCCGGAGGGGGTGTGGCCAGGTTTGTCGGGAGAGAATGCGCCGCCTTGGTGTGACGGGAACCGTGTCGCTGAGCAGAAGCAGGATCCCCGGCCGGGGTGCGGGGCGCGGCGGGCCTGCCAGCCACGTCCGGCCAAGGCGCCACGGCGGCCGTGGCCACGCCGGTGTCCTAGCACCGGGGGTTCGCCGGGGACCCTTGTACACTGCACCCCCGTATTTCAGGTAAATAACAGCAATCAGAGCGGTTCCAAAGCGTCTCTGGCTGGTGAGTAGCTGGGTCAGGCTGCCGGGCAGCTGCTGGTCTCTCCGGGTGGCCCCGCCGGTGCCCGTGAAGCTCGCAGGTGCAGTCAGGAGCCACGATGCTTGGTCAGGAGACATGACGCCCAGGGCACCGCAGCCCCGCGGGAAGGACTTCCAGGCGGCAGGCACCCCCGCCCCTCCCTCCCAGCCAGGCTCCGCCTTCCCGGTGCGGTGGGCAGGGACAGTTCCTCCGAGACAGGTGGCCACGCCTGCCCCAGACGCTGCCCTCCAGCAGCCTCGCAGACAGGTGTGCTCCCAAGAGCCTGGCAGGATCCACTCAGACTCCCGGCATTTCACACACGCCAACCTTTTTCTTCCAGTAGCATTAAAGCGCTGTGGGAGACGCCATTCCAGGCCAAGGCGGCCGGAGCGTGTGCTGGGGTGGAGGCCCCTCACCTGGCCGTGGCCTGCCCGCAGCACCTGGCAGCCAGGCCCAGCCCGCGCTGCCAGGAGTGCAGAAGGGCCGGCCCTCACTGGCCAGGCATCTGCCCGGCACGGCCCAGCCCGCGCGACCTCCAGAGTCGGGGCCGCAGGGGCGCTGGCAGCTGCTCGGCAGATGTCAGGCCTGGGACCACAGCCCCATCTCTGGGCTTGGCTTGCACTTCTTGAAGGTGACCCCGGCTGGCAGCCAGTTCTGAGCCCCTTTTGGGAGCCTCAGTCAGGCCATTGCTGACTGCCCCACCCCCACCCCGGCCCCCTTCTCCACGGGGCTGAGTGAGCTCATGCCAGGGCTACGCTGGGGGGGGCGGCAAGGGAGGGGGTGGGGAATGACGTGGGCAGGTACCCAGTTAGGGCGCAAGGTCTGAGGTTCGGGTATGTGCAGGACTCGCCCACCCAGGTCGCCAGGCCCTGTGCGTTGCCCACGGGAGGTGCATCCTAGCCACCCGGAGCAGGTCGTGGCACCCCCTGCAGTCTGGCTGCTGGGCTGGGCATGCACCCCTCAAAGTCAGCGGCTCTTCTAACACTCTGCGTCCCCTCGAAACGTCGGTGCCGCTCCCTGACTGGGGGGCTCCTGGCCCCTCGAAACGTCGGTGCCGCTCCCTGACTCGGGGGCTCCTGGCCATAGCTGGCCTTGGCAAAGCCTTGCTTGGAGCCCAGACACCTGGACGGTGGGCAGCAGCCACGGATAAACCAGGGCGCTTTCCTTCCAGAAGCGCTCTGCCACGTCCCAGAGCCCGCAGCGAAGGTGCTGGGCGCCCCCTGCTGGTCTGTGTGGGAATTGACCGGTGGGGCTGGAGGCGAGGCTGCGGGGAAAGGGGTCTCCCCCCTTCCCGTGGCGCCTGGCCCGTGTCTGTTGGTGAGTCCTGGGCTCAGAGGGGCCTGGCCGCTGGTCACTTCGTGCTTGACCTTTCTGTTCCTGAGCTCCCGGGCGCACACCTGTCCGCTCTCCGCCCCTCGCCACCATCTTCTGCTCACACCTTGTCCAGTCCCAGGTTCTGCTGACCCCTCCGCTCACCTGCCGGGATGAGAAGGGCCATAGGTCTGTGGGGCAGTGCCCCTAGGACGCTGGTGAGCTGCTCGGGCGCCCAGGGTCCAGCTCCCCGTCTGGCGGCCTGGTCGTTTTCCCGGGCTGAATGCTCGACAGCCCCGGCCGTCGTGGGCCCCTGTCCTAACTCCCACCCCTGTTGTGAGCCAGAGGCCCTGGAGGGCAGGAGCCGCTCAGAGGCACCCGGGCCGGCCCGGGTCGACCACAGCCGAGCGCCATTCTCGAGGTCAGCGGAGCTCGCGTGCCTTCCCCAGCAGCCGCGGGAGACGGGGCCGCGGGCCCAGGGAGCCGCTGAGGCGGAGGCTGGGTTCTGCCAGCTCGGGGCGCCCGGCCTCGGCGCTTCGCGTTCTTCCTCTGACCCTGTTTGAGGCCAGGAGAAGCCAGCAGGAGAAGCCCCTTGAGAACGGGAACGGCCTTGGCACGGCTCTGCCAGGAGGCCCCCACGCAGGGTCCCGTTCCCCAAGGGGTGGGCAGTCTGGCCTGCCTGCGCCCAGCCCTGCTCCCTGCAGCTCCCCGGAGCCCACAGCCTCCCACAACGGGCTGCGGGGCCATGCTGCCCCCTGCTGGCCTCAGCAGCAACCCACAGCCCGGGTGCACCCCTAGGCTACAGGGGTGCCCTCGTCACCCAGGCCTGGGCTGGGCTGGGTCCTGTGGGCTCCGGGTAGCAGGCGGGTGGCACTGGGCGAGGCGTGTCCACGCTGCGGGAGGCACCCGGGCCCCGCACACAGTAATGTCTGTTAGTGAGTGAGCGGGCGAGGGCTGAGGCGTCAGCCCGCCAGCAGCTGGTAGAGCGGATCAGACGCCCCCCTCGGTTGACAAGACCTGACGATGAGCCGCGAGCGGGAAGCGACCTGAACGGTCTCGGGCTGGACAGGGCGGCCCGAGCTGCCAGGCCTTGCCGGCAAGAGGCCGGGCGGGAAGGGTGTGGGGAGGGAGGGGGAGGCCTGAGCAGCTGGGCTGCAAACCCCAGGCCCTGGGGGAGGCCTCTGCCAGCAGGGGGTGGGTGTCAGGACGCACCTCCCTCCGAGCCTCCAGGCCTGTGACAGCTGACACAGATGGGTCCCCGCTTGCCGCCCTGTGAGCAGCTGTTGGCGTTGTCCAGTTCCCTGCGCATTTGAGAAAGGGGGGTCAGGAGTCCTGTGGGAGCAGACCGCTCTGCAGGCTGTGGGTTGGGGTCCAGCATTTGCATTCGGGATATTGGGGAAGGGGTGACCGTGCAAGGACAGACTGGGGCCACTTAAGAGCCATGGTGCAACCCAGTGGGGAGTCAGGGGGCTCCGCCCCCACTCAGGCTTCTGCCTGGAGAAGGCCCAGATCCCCAGTGCTGGGGCCTCTTCAGCCCGGCCCTGGGCCCACCTGGGCGCCCCTGGGCCATTTCCGCAGCCATTCTTGCATGCAGAGAGGGCTTCTGGGGGGCACAATTCCCCTCCGAGCAGCCTGGCGGTATTGGGGGGCTCTGCCCGCCTCCCTCTCTCCTCCTCACTGACTGCTTTTCTTAAGTCTGCCGGGGTACCCACAGGCCTGCCAGAGGGGTCGCCCCACCTCTCCTCCTGAGATGCAGCCTGGGGGTTCAGGCTAAAGGCAGAGAAAGTCTCCCCTAAGCGCTGGGCAGGGAGAAGGCGCTGGGTTGCACCCAGGGGAGTCCCACTTGTCCTCGAGAACACGGGGAGCAACTGGGGACTTCCTGCCCCAGGGCCAGGTTGGGGTGCCGACCTCGGGCTCCCCACTGTGCCTGATTCCCCAACAGGGCACACTTTCCCCAGCCCCGCCCCCGCCCTGGGTGTTTTTGCCTTTGCATTTGTGTTTCTTGTTCTGTTAGCTCACTGGCAGCCAGTCTTAACTCCGCAGGGGCGATGCCCCCTGTGCTCTGGGGCTCCTGCTCAGGCGCACCCCCACCACCAGGAGCGGGAGGCGGCCCACCAGGGCCAGGGAGCCTGTCCGTCGTGGCAGGCCCCGGGCGGTGGCCTCGTGCTGGAGCTGCCTGGGTGTGTGGGAAGCCTCGTTCCGCAGAGGGCCATGTTGTGGGTTCCAGTGGGGGTCAGTCAGACAGGAGCCCCCTCAGGAGGAGACCGGAGGGGGAGGGGGAGGGAGAAGGCAAGTCAAGGCCACAGTTGTGTCCTGACCCAGCGCCCTGCCCGCAGGCTCGTGGAGGAGTTCATGCTCCTGGCAAACATGGCCGTGGCCCACAAGATCCACCGCGCCTTCCCCGAGCGGGCCCTGCTGCGCCGGCACCCCCCGCCGCAGACCAAGATGCTCCATGACCTGATGGAGTTCTGCAGCCAGATGGGGCTGCCCGTGGACTTCAGCTCTGCTGGGGCTCTCAATGTGAGTGAAGAGAAGGAAGAGCTGAAAGTGGGTGCAGAGGCCTCCGGGCCCCTCCCCAGGTCCAGTTCCCAGCGGTGGGGTCTCCCGGGGCCCATCAGCCAGGGCAGGGATCCCTGGGCCAGGAAGGGCCGGGCCCGACCCAGCGGCTGTCAGCTGGGGTCACCAGGAGCCTGAGAGCGTCTCCTGTCTTTGTGGTGTCAAGGTCAAGTGCTCGCTACTGGGTGCTTGACGTCCTGGGCCCAGGATCCCGTGACCGTTGCGCTGATCCCATAGGGGGATCCCGCTGTGTCCCCAGCCTTGGTGGGGGGTGGGTGCCCAGGCTGGACAGAAAGCCAGACCAGCAAGCTTGGCCTCGAGGACCGAGCCCAGAGCCAGGGCCCCCAGGGAGGCCCAGCGCAGGGCCCAGGCCGGCCGCGGTCTGTCTGGAGGAGTGGGTGGGTGGCATCTGGCCTCGTGTGGTGTGCTTCCAGAAAAGCCTGACCGAAACCTTCGGCGACGACAAGTACTCGCTGGCCCGGAAGGAGGTGCTCACCAGCATGTGCTCCCGGCCCATGCAGGTAAGGAGCGGTGGGGGGACCCTAGGCCAGGTAGCCCCTGCGTGGCCTCTGGGCTTGGTTGTCTGGCAGAATCCAGGGTGCGCCACAGGGCGTGACGCAGGCCTTCAGGCCGGTCCCCATAGACCAGACTCGCCGGGGGAGGCCGGGAAGGCCTGAGGTCCGTTGGTCACCCCAGGAGGAGAGTGTGTCCGGCCAGCAAGCACTGCCCAGCCACCACCATGGCCTGTGCACCCAGGCTGAGAAGTCCCCTCTCACCCGCTGCCGGGCAGGAAAAGGGCCCCGGGAGCCCAGGAGCTGCTCTGGCCGTGCAAGAGAGCCAGAGGTCCGGCTCCCTCACCCCCATCTGGAAGGCCTCCACCCCCACGGCCAGGCTAGCCCTGGAGCCCCACAGAAAGGAGCCTGAATCACCCAGGACCTGGCAGGAAGTGACCCAAGAGTCTGCCGGGAGATCGGGAGGTCAGGGCAGGGCCGGGCGGGGCGCGGCGGCAGCGGTGAGCACAGAAGCCTGGACAAACTGCTGATGCAGAACCCGGTCATGGGGAAACCAGCGCCCCGCCAGAGCCTCCCAGGGTGCTTCCAGCCAGGAAGGGACCAGGCCCGCCGCCCCGCCTCACCCCGCCATCTGGGAGCTAGGCCTCCGCTGAGGGCTGAGCCCGAACACGGCGAGCGCCCGCTGCTCCCGCCTCCCCAGCCACTTGCCCCCGACATAGCCAGGGCCCAGCGGGTGCTGGAAGAGACACGGAGTTGGGGAGCCCAGCAGCTCACCCCCAGCTGTGCCCCGGATTCCGGAGTAACCAGAGCCGCTGTCTGTTTGGCCTGAAGGCCTGAAGGAGTGTGGCGGAGCCCGGGGGCCTGCACGGGGCGTGGCTCTGGCCTCCAGCACCCGCTGCCTGCTTGCCCACCCCGGGCGGCCGGGGGGCTCAGGCCAGCAGCCTCGGGACTGTGGCCCGGAATCCCGGGGCAGCGGCCTGCGGGGGCTCGGGGTGTCATCCTGCACCCTTTCGTAACGTCTGCCCAGCAGGTGGGCCTTCCGAGCTCGCTTTGGGTCTTGACACTAGGATAAGTTGCGAGGGACCGGAAGGGCGGAGGCCTGGCCCCCCACCTCGGCCCCCACATCTGGCCGGGGTGCCAAGGTGGAGCGCTTGGGCGCAGACACGCTGGGGGCAGGATGGCTGCGCGGGGCCGGAAGAGGACGTCAGCCACACCATAGACGACCGGGGCTACTGGGGGGTGGGGGGGCTGCGTCCCCCCGGCGTCCTGCTGCTGCCTTGGCCCCTGCTGGCCTCCCTCGGACACGGGCTTCCTCACGCCCGCCCATCCTGAGGAGCTGCCCCTCAGCAGGGACAGCGGTGGGGGCTCTGGCTTCAGCACCCAGTCCACCCTCCCTTCCCAGAGGGCTTGGGTGGCCAGCCCCTCGGGCCTGAGGGCTGTGCTGCATCCCGGGGGTCCCTGCCACTCCTGTCCTGGGCTGGACAGTCTGGCCCTTTCAGGACTGCCTGGCCTGTTCTCCCTGCGGCCACCACTAGGGTGTGGTAACCCAGGGCGTGGCCGGCACTTGCCTTCAGCAGGAGAGGGCCGGTGCAGGGCCACCCCCCAGGTTTCCTGACGCAGAGTGACCGCCCCCCAGGTCTCCTGACACAGTGACCGCCCCCCAGGTCTCCTGACACAGTGACCGCCCCCCAGGTCTCCTGACGCAGAGTGACCGCCCCCCAGGTCTCCTGACGCAGTGACCCCTGACCATTGAGGCCCACTTTGCTCGGCTGCCCACGGCCTGGGCCACACAGCCTGGCCGGGGTCTGAGAGCCCATTGCCCGCAGATGGCCCTGTACTTCTGCTCGGGGATGCTGCGGGACCAGGCCCAGTTCCAGCACTACGCCCTCAACGTCCCGCTCTACACGCACTTCACCTCGCCCATCCGCCGCTTCGCCGACGTCGTGGTGCACCGCCTCCTGGCCACCGCGCTGGGTAAGGGGCCCAGGCGGCAGGCGGCGCAGGCCTGAGCCCGGCTGAGAGCTGCCTGCCCCAGGGCGGGTGACTGAGACCCTGGGGTGAACAGCAGGAGTGTGGGGAGCTTGAGCACGGAGCCGCTGCCGAGCAGGTGGTGGGAAGCTGCCATCAGGCGCCAGCAAAACCCCGCAGGGCGGGAGGGCCGGCTGCGACTTCCCCTGCTCGGCGGGCCGCGGGGGGCCCTGCTCCGTGGGCCGCGGGGGGCCCTGCTCCGTGGGCACGGCACCATGCTGCCCTTCACCCAGCTCGATCTGCGCACACCGCCACGAGCGAGCAGCTCCCCAACCACCCTCTCCCCAGGCTACAGGGAGCTGCCGGACATGGAGCCCCACGCCCTGCAGAAGCAGGCTGACCACTGCAACGACCGCCGCATGGCCTCCAAGCGCGTGCAGGAGCTCAGCACCGGCCTCTTCTTTGCCGTCCTGGTCAAGGTGAGGCCGGCTGCCCGGCGTCTCCCCCACGCTCCCTCCCTTCCTGGGCCCCTGCTCACGGGAGCCGCAGGGCCGCAGCCTCGGGGCGGGCCTTGGAGGCAGCCGTGGCCCGGCCAGCCGCTGACGCGCCTTCCCGCAGGAGAGCGGGCCCCTGGAGTCGGAAGCCATGGTGCTGGGCGTCCTGAACCAGGCCTTCGACGTGCTGGTGCTGCGCTACGGGGTGCAGAAGCGGGTCTACTGCAACGTGAGTGCTGGCCCGGGCTCCCCGCGGGGTGGGCCCCAGGCCTCCAGCGGCCGTGCGGACCTGGGCCCTGTCCCACCCGCCCCAACAGACGCCTGTTCTGGAGCCTGCCCCAGGGACAGCCCTGGACACTCGGGCCCGGAGTCCACAGACACTGCCCACACTACAGCTGTGCTGCTGGCCCTGGTGCCATGGGTGTGGAGTCCCTCCCTGGGCCCAGGACCGCGCCCACCTGCTGGCACACCCTGGGGAGCCCCCCCCCCCACCAGTGCAGGATGGCCGTGTTTGAGGACTTCGGGAGCATTTGTACTTTAGGCATGTGGGGGAGGAGAGGGGCGAGGTCTCCTGACGCCCTCTGCGCGCTCGGCTGCCAGGGGGGCGGGGGGCGGCGCCCTCACCGTGGTGCCCTCCTTTGCACTCTGCGTTCAGGTCTCTTCCCGAGGGCGCTTGGTGCTGCTGCCAGTGAGGGTCACCTTCACCTTGTACTCAGCACGTCACCGTCTCCCGCTGCCCCTGGCTCCAGAGTTCCCAACATCCACAGCACTGTGGGGAGTGCAGCCCTGACCGGGTAGGGCTGCTGGAGGAGGCCTATCTGCAGGGACCTGGCCCTCAGCCTGCAGCCCTTCCCAGCGCCAGGGGCCAGCAGCCTGCATGCTCCCTGCCCATTCCTCCACGCCCCCTGGGCCTCTGTGAAGCTGGCCAGAGGCCAAAGACCCGGATGGGCAGGGCCCCCTTTGAAGGGCCAGCAGCCAGAGCCGGGTGGACCGACAGGGACTGTCCTTTCGGCCTCTCAGATGGGAGCAGGCAGGCCTCCAAGCAGGGGCCTCGGCGGGGGCCGGACTTGGGCCTGAGCGCAGCTGTGTGCTCCCCAGGCCCTGCCCCTGCGGTCCCACCACTTCCAGCGAGTGGGCAAGAAGCCGGAGCTCACCCTGGTCTGGGAACCTGACGAGCTGGAACAGGAGCCCGTGCAACAGGTCAGAACCGGGGTTAGGGCAGTTGGTCCAGGTCACCCTGTGGTCCCTAGTACGCCAGCTTCTGGGGAGCCCTCCTCTGCCTCCTGGGGTGTGCTCCACATGCCGTCCCTCCTGGTGCCCCCCAGCCCTCACCTCCAGGATCTGCAAGCCAGTCCGGCCGCCCCTCGCCCACCCACTTCCTTTGGGCCTTCGCTTGCTGGTACCACCTGTCCTTCCTGAAGGACAGCCTCTGGGGGCCTTTGTCCTTCGGAGTCCTTCGGAGAGTCTGATGAACGCCATGGGCCTCCTACCAGAGAAATTCTATGCCCCCGTTTTCACCTGGCACCACGAGGCCGGCCCTGGGCCCTGTGTGTTCCTGGGAAGTGATCCTTGGTGACAGCGGGCGCCACCCCCGGGCCTGACTTCTCGCCCTCCCACCAAGAGCTCCGTGCTAGGGCAGCTGGGCCCCTCGGAGACCAGACAGAAGCCTCGGGAGGCAGGCGGCGCTGGTGCCCCGGATGTGGCTGGGCTTTACCCCACATGCCCACCCACCCCGCCCCCGGGGGCCCCTGCCCCCGCCGGCACTGCCCGCGTCACCGCCAGGGTCTGTCTGCCACAGGTCATCGCCATCTTCAGCCTGGTGGAGGTGGTGCTGCAGGCCGAGGCCACCGCGCTCAAGTACAGCGCCATCCTGAAGCGGCCGGGCGCCGAGGGCCTGCGGGACGCGGCGTGAACTGGGGGCCACCGGCGGCCGCGCCCACCACTCACCTGGCCTGGCTTTTAGGAATAGGACCTTTTGACACCAAAGGGGGTTTTTAATTTGGATTTTAACAACTCAGGGTTTTGTTTAATTTTTTCATTCTATTTTATTTTTGCAGCAGTTTTTAAACGAACTGGAGTGGGGTGGGAGAGGCTGGAGGGAAGGCCGAGGCATGGCCAGCGCTGGCCAGAGCAGAGCGATCCAGGCCCCGTAGGACAGTCCCGCCTGTGCAGGCCACCTACCGTCGAACCCTGCCCAGGAGACTCGGGGTCTCAGCGAATCAGTGTCATGGAGTAAAATCAAGTGTGAAGCGCTGCCTGGTGTGTGGCCTGGCGGGAGGCTGGGTGGCGGGCGCCCCTTGGACCCAGGGCAAGGGGCCTGGCCCGCCCCACCCGCAGCCCACTGGGTCACACCCTCTGAAGACTTCCGGCTTCTTACAGATCTGGCCGCCAGCGCCCGTTCTGACCGATTGGAAGAGTAATTTCTGGCCGATTAGAAGAGTGATTAGCGGGCAGGACGGCACGCTCCTGCCACCTGCCTCGGCACTGCCCGCCCCCGCCCCCACTTCGCTCTGCTCCCTGGCACCTGGGTCCCGTGGCAGTGCTCCGAGCGGCCTTATCTGCACCCCTTGGTATGAGTGAGCACCTCACTCCCTCCCGTCCGTGACCTGGCGGAGCCGTGGGGCGAGCAGCTGCAGGGACATGGTGCTGGGAGGTCCCAGCCCAGTCGCCTGCCCTTAGACCTGAGCGTTGGGGCCCATGGACAGAGGGGCCGCCGGGCAGCTCCCCTCCCCGCCCATCCAGTCCAGCCTGGGCCTTCCGCCCCACTCAGGAGCCACTCAGGGCCAGGTTCTCCCATGTTGCTTCCTGGGCCTCGGTGAAGTTCCCTCAGGGGAAAAGCTGGCCTGGGGCGGTTGGCACAGTCTGCCTGGCACTGGGCTGGGTGCCAGGGGAGCAAAAGGCAGACCGGCCCCCTCTCCTCCAACGCCACCTCACCCACTTCGAGCCATCCACCTTGCCAGCTCTGAGGTGTCCAGAGACCACTGTCCACTCTCTGTGCCTGTCCCCAGAGACTTTCTGGAAGGGGAGAGGGTGAGGATCTGGTGGTTAGACATCTGGGTGAGGAGGAAGTCTCTGGGTATCTCCCGGCCCAGACGTCCTGACAGCCCCAAGGGTGAGACAGACTTTGCAACCCTGTCCCCTGCCCTGCAGCTGCCACACCCCTGAGGAGGGCCGACCCACCCTCTGGTGCTGTCCCCCGGTGCCTCCCACAGCCTGGGGACCGAGGGCAGAGCAGAGCCTCGGGCGAGTGGCCCTGTGAGGAGCTGGGGTATGGGTGCACCCTCTCAGCAGCAGGAGCCCCTGGCACGAGAGGCGTGACCCTGCAGACATCCCAGACATCGGTTTGCTTGGAAGGCAGAGGCTGGCCTCACCCCAGTGCGCCCCCAAGCCGTGGGGCCACAGCAGCGCAGCCCGGCAACAGACAGGAGTGGAAGGCCGCGTCACACAGCAGGATACCACTGGGGCCATGCACTGCCCCCTGCCACTGCTGTGTGGCCGGCAGCCAGTGACCACACCAGCAAACACTGCACTCACGTGCCATGTGTCCATGGCCTCGTGCTGAGGGCACTGTTGAGAATGGTGACGTGAACCAAAACATCGACTCCTTCACTCCCTGTGCGCCCCAGAGCGCCTGCAGACGCAACAGGCCGAAGTCCGGGGCCCCGGACAAGACCCTGCTTTCCGGGTCTGGGGTGCCGGGGGGGCAGGAGGCCAGACACCAGCAATACCAGTGGGCACGAGCCTGAGGCAGAGCTGCCTGCTGGAGAGCCCCCTGCTGGGAGGGAAGGACCAGCCTAGGAGGTGCGGACAGTGGGCCTGAGGCCTGAGGAACCTGACTTACACCCAGTGGGTAGGTTGGCGGTCAGGAGGATCGGCGCGTAGGGGGGCTGCAAGCAGAGGCTGGGGGACCCTGGCAGCCCCCAGAACCTCTCTGCAAGCAGGGGTTCTGCATGTGGGTCTGGGCGTCAGTGCGGAGCCACCGAGGGCCTGTAGCCAGGGCCCTGTCTTGACCAGATTCCTGTGCTGCACGCAGCCACAGGCAGGGGCATCTGCCAGCGCCCCTGGGAGTGAGCTCGGGGCCTGGCGTTCCTCACGTGGCGCCGCCAGGGACCGGAAAGCTGAGGCAGGAGGACTGGTGCTGAGGGGCCGCGTGTGGGCTGCGGCAGCGGCCTGCGGCAGCAGGAGCGTCTGGGGCGCTCCTCGGGCTGGCTGGGCAGGAGGCGCGGGCTGGGGACCGAGGCAGAGCGCTGGGGTCGGGTGAGCCGCAAGGAGGCGCCTGGCGGGGGCGCAGGCCCACTGGCCTCTCAGGCGGCCGGAGGACGTTCCTCACAGGGTTGGAGCAGTGGCCTTCTGGAGGAAAGCCAGTAGCCACTTCGTCCCGTGAACGAGAGCGAGCCTTGAGCGGTGCTGCTGGGCACTCAGCGGGCCTGGGGCCACGGTGGGGTCACAGCAAGGTGACTTGGCCCCTGTGGGAAGCTTCAACGGTGTGCGAACGGCGCAAGCGCCCCCGCGGGTGCCGCACTGGCGCCCTCGAAATGGCCCCCTCAGGAAGGACGGAACCCTGCGGCGACGGGCCAGCCTGGAGGACTTTGTGGCCAGTGGAGTGAGTCAGGCACAGAGGCACTGCGTGGCCGAGCTTCGGTGCCGCGGCCGGAAGTGGCACAGCCGTGGAAGTGGCGCAGCGAAGAACAGCGGCTCGGGAAGGTGCTCGCCAGGGCCCAGTGCGGCGGGCTGGCGGGATGTCAGGCCTGCGGTGTGCGCCTGCGCGCTTCTGACGGGCGCAGGGCGGATCCTAGCTGTTCTGGGCGAAGGCAGAGGGCAGCCCTGAGGGCAGGGCTCTTCCTGACCTGTGATCCCCGTGTGTGGGGCAAGTAAGGTGAGCCCGTTAACTCACGCAGCTCCTGCTCTCAGGTACACCTCACCGAAGCTACTTCACTGACTGCCTCGTAAATTAATAGAAATGGAGCCTGCCTCCCTGACGTGGCCGAACCCTGCGAGTGCTAACGCACTGTAGCGCCCTATATGACGGGCCAGGCCCGAAGGAGCCGCAGCTTCTCCTGCCCTCGCTTGAACTCCAGCCGCCATGTTGGGAGGAAGCTCAAGCCCGTGGAGGGAGCCAGCCGGCACCCGGGAGGGGACCCCAGTCCTGGCAGCGGCCTCAGGAGCAGGCTGGGCTGTTGCCTTCAGCCCTGCTCGTCCATAAGTTGCAGATTTATGGTCAGATAAGCAATCGTTGGCACTCTCGGGTGTTTGGGGTGACTCACTACACTGTCACAGTGACAACGGTGTTTCAATTGAGCTTAAAATAGAAGGGGGAAATCCTGATTTTGAAACAGAAGTAAATAGCACCTTCAAGTGCCAAAAGGGGGCAAGTGGTTGCTCCTGAGACGGGGAAACTCAGGGAGGAGAGGGGTTAAATAGGAATGATCCCAATTCATTTTGAGCTCTGATTGGCTTTGTGCAGCCAGGCCCGAATAAGGCGGCATCCAGGAGGGTGGGTCGGGCAAAGCCGTTGCCCCCTGAGGCCAGCCCAGGGCCCTTGGCGAGCGGATTATGTGTTGCTGGCAAGGACTTTCCAGAGCTGTTTGGTTTGAAAATCCGCTTTGGCCTGTCGACAGCGACACCCTGGAGAAAGAGAGAAAGTTTATTTACTATATTAAAAAATTTCCCTCTTGGGAGAGGCCGTCCCTGTGGTTGGGCTCAGCGTGAAGCCTGGTGAGGCTCAGGAAAAAGTCCGTTTAGATCTGTTGCTGCTGTTTTGACACAGGGCACGGCTGCTTTGGCAGCAAACTCGTTCACATAAAATTAGAGCTGAAACAAAGAAATCCCTCCACAGCAGGAGTGGGCCACAGTCGCCCCAGAGGCCCAGCGCCAGGGGTGAACAGTCGCTGCTCCCCTGAGGGCGAAATCCTGTTGACTGGCGGTGACCTGAGTTCCCACTAGGCAAAAATGCTGCTTAAGGCCTTCTGCTTAAGAACGGGCTTGTTCCCTGCGGGGCGGCCCCGCAGCCCGGGCCCATGTGTTTGGCCGGGAGGAAGCGCAGCCCCGCAGACCAGGCAGGGGTCTGTGGGCACTCCGCACCTGAGCCCCGAGAGGATTCTTTGGGGTTGGGGAAGGGTGATGAAGCCGATTTGAGATTTGAGACCAGCAGATGAGAGGTGACCCCTTACCGAAATAGGAAAGGTTCTTGAGGTATCGAGGAGGGTTGGGGGGAAACTTCAGCAACTGGAACTTCGAAGGGACGAGCTTGAATTTGTACACAACTGAGTTTCCCTTTCTGTGAAGTTGATCTCTTTGAACCTCTCTGTCTTCCTATGGGTTTGCATGGCTTCGCGGTTGTTTTAATACATGAAAAGCCGCTTTGGAGAGCAATCCATTGAAGTCATTTATTTTACTTTAAAAAGTTGCTTTGCTCGACCAGCTCACACATCATGCTGGCCCCTGGGCCAGCAGAAGGACAAATTTAAAGCAGAGGAATGTTCAGTCGAAGGGGAAACCGGTCCCCGTGTCCCTTGTCTCTTTCGAGTGGGCTCTCAAGCCGCAGGTGCTGTGGGCACAAACGTGTCCTGGTTCTCACGATGCAGAAATGACTGACCCTGTCCCAGAAGGGCCCGGCGCTCACAGGCCTTCGTTCCCACGCGCTCACTGCCGACGCCCAGCCCCTTGCCCATCATCTGTGTCCCTCGCCAGTGGCTTTGGGCCACGGCTCCGTCAGACACCCCTGCCACCCCCCGAGCAAAGGGGGAGCTGGGCTCTCCCCCTCCCTGCACCCCTCCCGCCTATGCCACCGAGGGTCCTGCCCAAGGCCCTTTCCTGTCCCCACTCCAGGTCCCTGCCTGTGGGGGGGAGTGCCTGGCTGCCTTCTGGGGCGGGGGGGTTGCCAAGGGAGGACCCGCCCACACAGGCCTCACTGAGGCGTTTTTCTTTCATTATTTGTTTTCTGGGAATGGGCTGCTTTGTTTATCAAGCTCTCTGCTAACCAACCCAAGAGCTGCCTTTTCTCAAGTTCAGGGTTTCACCTCCCCCTACCCCCTCCACAGCTGCTTCTGCAGGGCCCCGCCATAATTTAATCCCCACAGCAGCCTCGTTGTTAGTGTGTGGACTAAGGAACACCCCAGGACCCCAAACGTGTACGCTCTAAATGAGTTTTGCCATCCGCCACAGAAAGACAAAGCAAGCTGTCAGTGTGAAAGAACTTTGATAGCACCGTGGATTCATGTGCAGATACAGAGCAGAGAAAAAAAGGACCGAGTTCCCCAGTGCATCCAAAGTGACCGTCCCCTGTGGGTAAACGCCCCCCAAGTGGGGTCGGCCTACAGCGGGCCTGCTGAGCCCCGAAAGCTCCTATGAGTATGAGACACCCCTGTGGGGCCCCCCCCTCCCCGGAAATGGGCAGAAGGAGCCAGGCAAGTCTGGAAGAAAAGCGCCGA